TCAGCCATTGCCTTGTGGTTACAGAACAGAAACCCATCGGTGGACTTTGATGAGATTTTTGAGGTAACCAAGGTAAGGCCCCGAGGCTCCTGCCAACCCTTCGTGGTCATTCTTGTGCATTTCATATTGAATTGCGCGAATGGCAGGCTCTGCACCCTAGGGCTCCAGTCAGGCCTGTCTAATCTTCACAGGAAGAATGTGGGAAGGCCCTGCATGAGGTCAGAAAGTGAGCGTGCATATACATGTGTGCACACCTGTAAGGGGACAGTGCATTGGAGAGGAGGTGACACCTCCCCTTCTTCTCATTCCATGAATTTTGGAAGCTCCTGTTACATCCCAGACATTTTGACAGATGCTAAAGGGAAAAGAGAGAGGAAGACACAGTGCTGTGCTCAAGAATGTCATGGTGTGACTCGGTACATCATTGCAGAAGGCAGGGCGAGGCAGGGAAGGGGAGTAGAGGATAGGGAAGGGGGAAAGAAGGCAGTTTAGGATAGGGTGGTGCAGGGCAGGGCAGGGTAGAGCAACCTCCCTGGTGTATCCTAGCCTAGCAGCCTAGGAATTCAGATACGTATGGAAGACCTGCCCAGGACACTCTTAGAAACTCAGCAGAGGCAGGGCCGCTCTCCACCAAGTACATGCCCTGGTATAGATGGGCTGGCGTGCAGCCAGTGTTTGCTCAGATTGGTTGAAGGCCAGGCCAGTGAGCATTATCGCTCCTGAACACCAGGTGTTCAGAAGCCTCTAATACAAGGATTGTCAACCGTGGCAGCAATTTAGAATGAGTGGAAGAACTTTCAGTGTTCTGTTGACTAGATTATTCCTCACCCCAATTAATTCAGCATCTCCAGGGTGGGGCTAGGCAGCAGCAATTTTTCTCCAGGTGATATCCCTGTCACCCAAGCCTGAGAACCGCTGAGGGCCAGATAAGCTGTTCTGTGCAATGGGGCGGGGTACAAATTGAGTTCGGAAACAACTTCCCAGAAAAAAATCACATTCTAATTTGTGTTCTGGAAGATGGACAGGAAAGACAATTGGGGAAGGCATGGGTGAGCGCTCTAGGGAGGAGGAAGGCCATGTCCAAATGCCCTGGGACAGCCTTTTCTTTCACAGCCTCCTGGGTTCTGTCCTCCACAACACTGCATTGACTGTGTCTGTAGGTCTGTCTTTCCACAAAACAGCCAACTCATGGCCTCAAGCAAGGCTTGTGGTCTTGGTCCTTTACTCTGGACACACACAGTAGCTGATGCGTGACAGGAACTCCCATACCTTTGCTACCTAAAGGGTCTCATGGAGCTTCGGATGCGAAAACCTAGGGAACAGGTCTATGCAAATGTCTTGGGGGTCACATTCAGTGGTGCCTTCATATTTCTCCCCAGGGGGTCCTAGTTCTAGTTGCAACAGAAGGATCGGGAGAGCAATCTTGAGCAGCAGTTGCATAGTGCTCCAGGTACTCTGGGCACTCATCACCTGTTCATATCAAAGAATGTCTGGCAAAGGGACAGATGTGATAGAGATATCGAAGGGCACCTCCTAAACATCTAGCTCCTTCTCATCTGTTTCACTGCCCTTGGCAGCTTCCAGTGTCCCTCTATATATGCCTGGAAATATCTTGCGGCCCAAAGAAGAGACCAAGTCTGCCCTCTATAGCTAGATCTCTCTGCTGGATAATATCTGAGGTGCCTTTGGTGAAAAGGCCTTCCTCTGGGGTGAGCAGGACCTTGTGCTGACCCTCCAGATGCTTCAATGGAGGCCCATCATTGCAGACCTCTTAGGAGCCCTGGCCTCCGATCAGAGGGTGTGTCGTTTAATAGGGCTTGACCTTCTGTCAAGGCTGCCTGGGGCCAGCAGTGGCCATGGTCCTGTGCTGCCGACCGCATGCAGCTCAGATCGTCCAAAAGGATAATGTGCTAAAAAGTGTCTTGCAAGCCATAAAGCATTTTACAAATGTAAACAGTTAGTTTTATTCTCTTGGGGCCTTAAAAATGATTCATTAGGACAATATTTTCCAATGGAACATGGTTTATTAGGTTACAAATACAAGGACTGGGGTTCGTGAGGGGCGGAGGGCTGTGAAAATAGATATTATCCCAGGTATATCTGCATCAGACATGGTTATTTGGATTATTTTTAATTTTATAGCCCCAGAATCTCCTTTTTCTATAAAATTTAATTAACTCGGGTTCTATTTAAACAGCAAATCCAATGGAACGAAATAACAATCTATGTTTTATGCCTCTCCATGTTTTTCTCGTTTAATCCTTGAGTGAAAATCATCTGGCAAGAGGAGCGCCTATATCTCAAGGAGGAAGGTTATTTTAAAAGTTGTGCTTAAGGAGAAAATTAGCCAATAAATTATATTTATGATGTTAGTAAAAGTATGCCACACTTGAAATGTAAATCATGTGACTTAATTATTAACTTCATTTTAATATTTTCCAAACACTGAAAATCGTTATGGGCCATTTTAAAAGCGTCAAGTTCCAATCGCAAGGAAGCCCGGAAGCTACATGTAAATTCATCAGGTAGAATTAGCCCTTTCAGGACGTTGGAAGGGAGTTGAAAGAACTGGCACAGTTTGACCAAATCCTATGAGATATTACTAACATGCTGAAGAAGGCCAACCCACGAAAAGCCCCAAGGTTCCCTCCAGATTTGGGAGAGCACCCAGCATGCCAGCCACCTCATTCCCGTCGGCGGCTGGACTGCTACCCTCTGAGAGGGAATCCTGTTAGTAAAGTCAGCAGGAAAGACCAAAATGCACAAAGTCCCACCGTCACATTGCCCCTGTCCACACACCAACCTCCTCTCCCCACCTTCGTGCAGGGAACACCAAACCGCTGCTCTGCCACCTGCATGCTCCTTGGGGAAGCCCCCTCCTCTTCCTTCTTTCCTGACTTGTGGCTCTTTTCCTGTGAGACTCAGTTCTGGGCTTTCCCTTTCGAAAACCCTCCCTAAATGTATTTGCTTGGAGCTGGGCTCAGTCTTCTGCAAGCTCCCATGTGCCCTGGAAATCTGTTGTCAATCCTTCCAGTCCCCCTTAAAAGGATCTGTGTCTATAGATGACTGTCCCCAGCAACTAAATTCTCAGGAGCTTGGAACATGGTTGGCATTTCTCCTTAGTATGCCCCCAGCACCTTGAATAGCACCCAACTCTTGTTTAATGTTTATAGAAAAGGGGGTGGGGGGAAACACTGTGTAGTTCGAAAGAAAATTAATACGTATGGACCCTCCTGTGTGCCAGGCTCTATTGTTCAATCCAAAAGCCAAGGAGAAGGATTGAAAGTGACTCAACAAAGAAGGCTAAGCCTCTTCCCTTCCAGCAGAAAGTTTCTGTGCCTTTTGAATCAGGCTTAGCCAAACTTCAAAGCAAGTCCAGCTGCTAGAAGTTGAGTCCCTTAACGAATATGCCTGCCACCAGGTGTGTTGCCGATTTTGGATTGTTCTTGATTTTGGAATATTGGCATGCTTAATGAAATATCTTAGGGATGGAACTCGAGTCTAAACAGAGAATTCATTTGTTTCATAAGCATTGTACACACACTGCCTAAAAATATTTTATACAGTATCTTCCGTGACCCTGTGTTTTGACCCAGTCCATCACATGGGGTGAAGGGTGGGATATTTCACCTGAGACTCCATGTCAGTGCTCAGAAAGTTTTGTATTTTAGAGCGTTTTGGATTTGGGAAGTTCGGATTAACTATGCACAGCCTGTTGTCAGTAAGTATGAGAGGAGATTATTAACTCCATCTTCCAAGTAAGGAGCTGTAGCTCTAAGGTGCTGCAGAGGTTGGAAAGGTACCATGGCAGTATATCCCCAGATGTGGGACCTTTTTCTGAGCCCAGAGTTCATTTTTCAGGAACAAAGAATATCCCTTTCTTTGTGTGAACCCCAGAGCTCCAGCCAGGACTTGGTAGAGCATAATTTGCATGCAGGGGACCTGGATGGCAGGGCCATTGGACTCTCCCTGTGCCATCTATTACTGGTGATTTTAGCTTTCCTCAATTAGAAGCTATCACTTAAGATCTGAAGATGAGTGGAGAGTGGTGTTTCCTCAGTGGACAGGTTTGCACAAAGCATGTGATTATGTCCTCCTTTTAATTAATTAAGTCAGGCCACTTGGTTCTTGGCCAGACACTCTCTRCCATCTCTGAAGCTAGAAGTACATGCAGATCTATTTCTATGTGTATCTAGAGGGATTCTTCTGCTGCTCTGGCCAGCCTTGCTTGGGTGTTTCTGTGTGATGGGCAGGAGGACAGATGATAGATACAGTGTCTCCTAGAGCAAAGTTTCTGGTAGTGATTGATGATGTATATGCTGTTTTGATGCCCTTCCTGGTATTAGAATGAAATGTGTTTTTTTTTTCCTCCAACCATGGTTTGTTTTTTTTTTTTTAATCCCAGAGATAGACTCTTTCAGGAACCACATATTTAGCTGCATGCTCTAGATACAGAAAATGACAAAACTTGACCTGTCACCTTGATGTCACCCCTGTGAGAATCCATGTATTCATCAGCAAAAATGGGGATGATGCTTTCTACCTGTCAGGGTTAGTGTTGTTGGGAGCATTTACTAAGAAGTGACCGTGAGGTCATCCCTGGTGTCCTTACCCATCGAAGACATTGTGTATGTGTAGGACAGGAAAACCAGCGATGGAACCGATACCTACCTTTATCTGCTGGAGAGGGGGCAGCGCTGGCATGTGATGGTGAACAATTGTGAAATGAGACGATTGTCGCCCATGGGAGGTGAAGAGTGGGTGACACTGACCAAGGCTGGATAAACAGCCAGATACACTGCAGCAAGGCTTGGCTCTCCTGCTCTGCATGATGGGTGTGATCTGAGGTGTTGCTTTGGGGATYGCAAGATCCAGTACTGACTGACTGGGCTTACCATCCGTACAATCAGGACCAAGGAGAGCGAGGTTTCTCATACTGTTAAAGCAGTCCTGGCAGTGTCTGCTTTCCTGCTTACACTGTTATCTTTTTGTCTTTTCAGGCTGTGACCCAATTAGAACTTTTTGGGGACATGTCCACCCCTCCTGATATAACCTCTCCCCCCGTAAGTATGCATCTCCCTCTGAGCCCCACGACCCTTTTTGTTCTTTCCTCAGTCACACAGTGGGGAGAATATGAGTCTTGGGTAAAGGGTGTCCTGCTGAATTTCAAATCTGTGTGACTCAAGCAAGCTAACCAGCAATATGGAGACTTAATTTTCTCTGCTATTAGAGTGAGAGATACAGACAGAGAGAGAGAGAAGGGAATAGCTTTCTGTATATCATACTTCTGTTTTAAGAAATAAATGAGACCACACATTTAGCAATTAAAGGATGTTTCCTGGGTGCTTGCTCTTGTGCTGGATTCAGAGAGGAGAGACACGAGTCTTGCCCACAGGGAGTATGTTATCTGAATGGGACCACGAAGGAGAAACTCAGCATGATCAGGCATGAGCCCCACACAGCACTGGTGGCCAGCAGGAAAGGAACCATCTCCATCTCCTTCTTTCCCTCCTGTGTTGTATTTCCACCCTCCCTAACCTGCTGCTGCCCAGGTAGCCTTGCAGACCGTGACCTGTGCTTTCTGAATTTCTCAAGAAGCCAGAGCTTCAGCCAGAGAATCTGAGCCAATGCTTGCAGGAAGGCAGAGATTTGCAGGGAGCCCTGATTTGAAAATGAAAAGAAGAAAATAGAATCAAAACCAAAGCAAAATAGAAACCCTGTGCTGTGTGCATTCAAAAGCAACCCTGCAGCCCCTGCAAAGCAAAGAGGGAGATGGCCTCTGGGCCCCTCCCTGCCTATTCCCGGAGGTGGGTGGAGAGCAGTCAGCCGCAGCTGCACTGGCTGAAGCTGCTGGGAGGGGACTGTTCTTCTGGGCACCGCACAGTTGTGCAAACCCAGAGATGGTGCTACGGTTCATTGGCGAGATGCGCCTCACAGAGAAAGGGCTGTAACCTCACCACTGAGAACAGATGGCATAAGACCCTGCTGCCCACAGCTGCCACCAGGGAGTCTAAGCACAGCTGCTTTGCTCCCTACACCTGATGTGGGGGGGGGGGGGGGGGGGGGGGGGGTGGACAGCTCCTGTCTCCAGGGCAGCTGGACTGGGAGACTCTAGTGATTCTCAGCCCCTCCATTCTGGGGGAAAACAGCTTCATCCCGGGAACTCAGAGTTGCAGAACTATGAGGCAACAGAAGTAGAAAGGTCTGAAGAGCTCTTCCAACTTTATCCCCTGTGTTGTACAGATGTGCAAACTGAGGCCTTGGGAGGACAAGTGACTCACACAGGGTCATGTGGGCAGAGGAGAGCAGTGCTGACCATCCTTAAAAATGCTAACACAGCAGCTCATGGCTGTGCTTCTGGCCCTGAACCCCAGTGCAGTCCCAATTGGTGTTTAATAGCCCTCAGAACAATGTCATTCATCCTGCAAGCTGCTGGGCTAAAAATGGCTTTGCCTAATTGCCATGGTTTCAGGATTATTTGCTTGCCCCAGTCTACTCCAAGTGGGGGAACACCCAACATAGATATGATGGTGTCAAAACGGCTCATACTCCATAGGCAAAAGCCTGCTGCAAATAGGTATGGACACATAAAAACGATGAGAACTGACGTTTCTATTTCAGTACTTCCTACTTGCCACCAGTTCCTGCAGTAGACCTCTCTGGAATCCTGACATGGGCCAGACAGGCACTGGGCAGTTCTCAGCTGGGCAGGCATAGTTGCTTTGTTTTTTTCTTGACAATACTTATTTTCTTCACAAATGAAGATTCAGGCAAGATTCTGGAGGCACCAGAATACAAGGGCCTGTGTGCTGAAATTTTATTTTCATTTTGTCAACACCTGTGAATGGACCACATATTAAGTGTCAGACCCTGAGGTGGGCCCACAGTAGGTCTTCAGGTGTTTTGATTCTAATGGGTGACCTGTGAAGGGTGAAAGCCAGATATTGTGCAATAACTTCGTGGTCTGAAAACACACTCTAAGAGGTAAGGTGCAAACAAACTCGTGAGGACACTGGTTATCATTTCTTAGCACCTACTGGATGGCTAGGCGTGGTACTAAATAACTTCCTATGAAACAATATTTCAAATGCATGATCTCATCGAATCCTCCCAACAGCTTGAGGTATCACTTTCCCATTCCATAGATAAAGCCTGTATCACTGCATAAGTGGCCTAGACTAGGGCTCACTTCTGCAGCAACCCCATCTCACCCTGCTGCCTGCTGTGCATGATGACTGCTCACGTGTCCCTGCCTCTCTGTCCCACAGACTCCTGCAACTCCAGGTGATGCCTTCATCCCGTCTTCATCCCAGACACTTCCGGCCAGTGCAGATGTGTTTGGTTCTGTACCTTTCGGCACTGCTGCTGTACCCTCAGGTGAGCCCTCTCTGCTAGCTGCCCTTCCATTGAAAGTCTGGAAGAGTTGACTGAATCAGCACCAAATTATGCCAAAACATCTGTGGGACCATCCTACATTCTCTCACACGGCTCCTCAGTACCATGGAGAAGCTGTCCTGTGGGTGGGGCATGGAGGTTCCATACAAAGCTCCAGGATGCTGTTAGCTAAAATTCACTGATGTCTTTCACCTGGAAGGTTCAAGACTCCAGGTGACTGAGGTGGACAGTGTTGGGGAGCATGGTACATACCCAGCAGGTGCATTCATGCAGGTCATTTCTTCTGTCCACTTAAGCCAGAGGAAGAGGCAGTGGTGAGCAGGAAAGGAGATGCAGCCAGCTCCCTATACAACCCCTGACACCTGAGCGGTAGAAGGGATCTGCCTTATTTGGTGCTGATTCAAGGAAGGCATGGTTCTCCATAGAGGGTGGCAGGGGACCCTATGGGACAAGAGCAAACTACTAACAATGAATTGAGAAGGTGATGGGTCTCACAGATTTAGAAAGTATTTCTTCTGTTTTCCAAATAGTCTTTTAAATATATATATTACTTTCAAAACAGGGTCACTATCTACAGTAACAGTATTACAGGTGGGTTACAAATGGGTGGCCCTAGGAACGATTTCCCTGGCAACAGACACTCTAGGCATCCAGACCACTCTTCTTAGAAATAGCAAAGGTGGATTTGTTCTTTTTTTTTTTWAAACAAACATGGAAGCCTGAAAGAGCTCTGTGTTTTCCTTTAACTGCATATTGAAATCTGTGTCATTATCTTTCTTTCTTGACTTTATTCTTATAAATGACAGATGAGAGTTTGAATATTTTAGAATACAAATCTTCTTGTACTTTTTTCTATAAATAATTACTTTTAATTACATAGTGTTAGAAGCAAATTCTTGCCACCAAATATAAACCTTGCTTTTATTGGAAACAAATTAAAAATTCATACTCTGTTCTGAAGCACAGTTATTCCTCATGAGCTCAGAGATCATGATGAGCCTTCAGAAGCAGCAGAGGCTGAGGATGATGCTATGACTTACAGTTTAGAATCTGCAGGTAGCTGAGGAAAGTATTCATTGCCAAGTTTCCCAGTTGAGTTTCTTTTTACACATCCCTGAAACAGGATGGTGGTGGTGGCTCATTTTCCTGTTCTAAAATGACTATTAAAATCTCCTTGGGAATAGTGCAATAGAAATATCATTTAAAATGAAAATGACATCTTCCATCAGCAATGCCTATGCTTCTATGCTTAAGCCTTCTCTTCAGAACCCCTCCATGTTTTGCTTCTTTTTTTTTTTTTCTTATAAAGATGCTGGGACAGATGATGGGAACTCTAGGAACTCTAGTTCTCATGCTTACTAACCTTCAGGCATGGTCCTTCCACAAAAATTTTCTGAGTGCCTGCTCAGTGCCAGCTCCTGTTCCAGTTGCCTGGGGTGTGTTGGTGAACACAACAGGTGGAGCCATTGCCTCCTATGCAGAGATAAGCAATAACATAAAATGAGTCACTTATGTAATATGTTAGAAAATGATAAGGGATATGGATAGAGCCAAACACAGAGCAAGGTATGGGGACCCTAGAGTCCCATCCAAGGAGCTTATGGTCAGGAGGGGCTCCTGCACAGGTGAGATGGCACCTGGGCAGCAGGCAGGAAGGGTCAAGGTGGGAATCACACATCAGAGTTAAGGGTTTCCCAGACCCAGGACCTACTTGGGTCTTCCTACGCTCCAGTCCCTTCTATAAATGATTAGATGGCACTAGATGCATTTGAGGTCTATTTCAGTGCTAGTGTTCTATTTAAAGCACTCTGAAGACCTGTTTGGGTACCTGTCTCCTTTGTGACTTCTCCCCAGCCTGATCCAGATTAACAGTTTCAGTCTCACTACTTAGCCAGCCACACTGCAAATGGTGGACAAGCTACTTCTTCCAGTTATTTAAAAAAAAAAAATTTGATCAATTATACCCAAGACTTCAATTTTTGGAACATGAGTCTAAAACTGATTTCTACTAGCATATTTTTGCTTTCTTATTCTACTTAAGATATGCATATGATATGCTTCAGTGGGTATTAAACTGTTGCCCCTTTTCCTCCTTTAACTGGTCTTAAAAACCTCTATAGGTCTTACATTTCCATCTACCTATCACTGGTTCTTGAGGCTGTGATGGGAGATGGGGCCACAATGGGGCTACATCATGCACTGGATGAGCTGCCCAGGGAGGGCCTTTGAATCTGATGGGCAGAGTTTCCATCCTGGCTCAGCCTTTTTGGTTGTGGCGATTACTACTTTTGTGTTCAGACACGTTCTTTTTATGTTGCCCAGGCTGGTCTTGAACTCCTGGGCTCAAGTGATCCTCCTCCTTCAACCTCCTGAGGCTAAAGGTGCACCCCACCATGCCAGTTGAACCACTTTTAAAAATAAGCTCTAGATTCCTGGGCAAATTACTCAACCTATCACCTTCAGACTTTCTTCATCTTTATAACTGGATAGAAAAAGTGATACTTTCCTTGCAAGAACATTATGAAAATTAAAGGAGAAAATAAAATCAAGCACCTTCAAAACGCTGGGACACAGAGATACAATGTACAACAGGCTGCTGCTGATGTGTTGTGGTTGTCATTGTTGGTTTTATTATTATTATGACTTATAAAATATGTCCTAGTCTACCCTGTACTTTCGCCTGGGTGCCACGGAGAATGTACTTGTATGAAAACAGGTTCTGCCACCCACCAGCTGTGTAATCAGTTGACTGTATCCCTTCTGAGCCTCAAAGAACCTACCTGTAAAATGGGTATGGTCATAATTTTGCCTCGTAGAGGTGTTCTGAGAACCACACCAGTAAGTGCATGTAGTAAAACATGTCTAATGGTGCCTGGCAGTGTTAACAAGGAGGTGTTTAATAGACATTTGAACGCTGCTCCCTGGGGCCCTGGCTCTGCTGCTCATACACTGTGGCAAGTTTTCTCCTCAAGGAGGTGCCATTTCTCCCTACAAAGGAAAGAGAGAGCAGTAACAGCTATCCTACAAACTTCTTGCAATGATTAACCTTCCCCTAAGTATAAGCTTCACTCAGGCAAGGATTTCCAGAGACTAAAATAGAGCCGAGCACCCAGTCAGTATATTTTTGATAACTGAATGAGTTGAACGAGATCACATGCATAAGAGGCGTACCGTAAAAATTCTATATATACATTGAAACTCCTTAGTTTTCAGTGTGTTTCTTATATGTTATTCTACTTTCTTTTCCTTTTTCCAAATAATGGGAGTGTCCCCGGGAGCCAGCATCTGATTATAAATTGCAATTTTCAACACTTTAAAAACCTACCTGCAAAGCAGTGATGCAGGTGTTCCCTTTCCGTTCCCAGCAAGGAGGTCTCTGATTGATGTGAACTCCATGCATAAACAGATGCTCCCTGGCACCTCCTTCCTCTGCTGCTGCACATTAATGAGTAAATGGTTAACAAGTTGTTAAGTGGCCACAGTGGCTCCAAGTGGTTCCCTGAGTCCCATGCTACCACAGTCCTACTGCGGAGGTGTCTCCTTAGGAATGCCTGACACAGTGTGGCCAGAGAGCCTTAGCTCCCAGGCCTGGGGAGAACTCTGGCTGCAGGGACACCCCCCCACACACAACACAAAAGTGATACCTGCAAGCTCCCAAACACGGCCCCCAATTACCCTGTGCTCTTTTTCTCTTCTGAATATCATACTTTGGTCTGGAACAGATGGCATGAAGCCAGAGAGACATGCTAATAGCTCTCTCCAGAAAAGTGTGCACAACCCATCTGTTAGCTCCTTGTAAAACAAAAAAGAAAGGATGGGAGGGAGAAAAAAATCCACCACCAACAACAGAATCAACAGGGATCACAGCACTTGTGGATCCCAGAATTCCACTGTGCTCCTGGAAAACTGCTGCAAAGCATTGATTCCTTTACGGCTCATTCACCCTAATGTTGGGTCTTTCTCCGGTGTTGAGCCTTTATGGAGCTGCTGATTGAGCCAAAACTGCACTAGGCATAGGGGGAGAGAGAATAAAGGGTTTCTGCTGGCAGGTGGTTGTTAATTGTCTCATGAGGGAAGACAGAATAACCAGGCAAGTACAACACCTGGTGGCAAGTGTCATGGCAGAGGGGACCACACAGAACTGTGGAAACCCAGAGAAGGACCAGATGCACTCAGGGCCAGCAAAAGCTTCCAGTAGAGGGGACAGGAACTGAGCCTGTCAGGGTCAGGCACATGAGGAAGTGGGTGGTGGACCAGACAGACACAGGAAGGTGGGGTGTTGTTTTCAACTGCTGGAAAGAAGATGCCAAAGAGGATAGAATCGAAGATGGCAATGAAGAGGTATGAGGAGCTGACCACCAAGGGCTCCTAGCCATGCCATGGCATCTGTGCCTTACAGTCAAGATGATGAGCACCACGCAGAGATGGTCCCCGATTTACAATTAAATTACAATGTTTTGACTTAAGGTTTTTATACTTTACAATTCTGTGAAAGCAATACCCACTCATTAGAAAAGGTACTTTTATTGTGAATATTGATCTTTTCCTGGGCCAATGATATACAGTATAGTACTCTGCTCTGATACTTGGCAGATGTTGGGATCCGTACCTCCTGGTCAGCCCTGCCATCCTGAGTACCTGCTACAGGGTTCTGTGTTGCTAAGCTACAATGTTTGGCAGGTTGAATGCAGCATCAACTTATAAAATTTTCAGTGTACACTGGGTTTACTAGGGTATAAACACACCATAAGTCAAGGAACACCTGTATTTGCATTTTAGAATGATCCACATTGGCAATGAGAAGGATGGAATAAAAACTAAGCAAAAAAAAAACAATAGGCTAAGTAGAAACTGAAGTCTCAACCCATTCACCAAAATCATGGTCATCAAGGCCAGGATAATTGAAAGTTCTGTGGTTGGTCTCAATCTGTGAGACCCAGCACCCTCTTTTTATAAAATATATTTGCAACATCTCCTTTAGTAACTTGAAATGAAATTCATAGATAATAATGTAACTTCACAGGTTTTCAAAAATCAACACAATGTCCTAATGATAACATAAAGTAGAAATAGAAGAAAGCTAATGTATACTAAAAAATAAGCATTACTGTAAGGAAATAGGCATGAGCTTATAAGATATAGTAAATAATCAGATGCACATACCTATAAATAGTATCACCTCTGAAACCTACAGCTACAAGTGCAGACTGGCACACATGCTGAGCAGGGTTCCTAGCAGGGACTGCCATTTTCCAAAATGGCAGACAACTCCTAGGAGCTGTAACACCCTGCTCAGCATGTGTTACAAACAAAACAAAAAACAGTTTCTCCTCAATGTACACACTTGTTACATTCCTAGAAAATGAAGTGCATTAAAACCATGCAAAGAAATTGAATTTCCATGTAATTCAAAGTCAATTCTAGGTTCAAATAATCATAAATAGGATTTGAAGAAATTCTTTGTTGTGTGCATTATTCCCACACCTTATAGAATGTCTACTGTCAATGCTGGGAGGCCCTGAAATGCCAATAGGATCCACCCTCTCCAGTTACCATTACAACCAAAACCCTCGATCCAATTTCCTTAATCATCCCTAGGGGGCAGTAGTGGGGGCAGAATTAGTAGATTCAAGCTACTCCATCATTGCCTAATAGATGAGGCAATGTAAGCAAGTGTCAAGTCTGAAATGCCATCAGCCATTCCTCTTCACTCCTCCTCAGGGAAGTTGGACCGTACCACAAGGAGACTCTCTTGTTTTGTTTGTTGAAATCTCTGTCTCTTACCATAAAGGCATTTAATATTGCTAGATTAATCAGTAAGAAGCCCATGTTTTCTGTGCCTCCCCTTCTTTCAGGGGACACATAACATGTGGGGCAAATTAGACACCTTGCCAGAAAATGCCCAGGCTTTGAAGATTAACTGGATCCCATATCCATCGGTTGAGGGGCAGGTGGATCTGAGACTGGCCTATGGAGTGAGGTCCCCTGTACACCATTTCTCTGGGCTCCCCAGAATTAGAGACATGACCCATGATGTGATCAGTGCCACTGCCCTCACCCATTGTCCTTCTGGATGTTGCTAGGATACCCTGCATCTGCTACTCTTTCTGTTCTGGTCTCACTCTACTGCACCTGCAAATTCCTTCTGGCAGCCATGAAGATGCTTGTTTTGAGAGCCCAAGAAAGCCTTGATTCTCTACTCTCTGCTCTTCCTGGATGGCCATTGTCTCCCAGACTCAGCTATACAGGCAGGTGGCCATTATGCCCGCTGAGAAGCATGGGAACCACTGGAAGCACACAGGAGTTTCCTGTGGGCCTGTGGTGTGCTAACACATTCCATGGTAGCCAGGTTCTTAGACTGCGAAAGATGAAAATTGGTCTTGGCCATCTGGTGGAACAGGGTGTCACAAAGGAAAGAGCACTGGCTTTGGGGACAGACAACCTCAGTTTAGATCCTGATCCTACCTCATGCAACCCATGTGACCCTAAACAAGTTGCTTTTCTTCTCTAAGCACCAATTTCCTCATCTCTAGAATAGAAATAATAATATATGCCATGCAGGAATTTTGTGAAGACGGAAAACAGTATACTAGCACATTCCTGATATTTAATAAGTAGAAATTATTGCTATTACTATTGCTATTATAATAAAAGTCACCTCTGCTCCTGTTAAAATATATATATATCTGCTGATAAGAATGATACAATGAAGAATTCTTGTGGTCATATATTTGAATACATACTCCAGAGTTTTGCATTGTTCAGCCCATTACCATTGAGCCTATTTTGAGAGGCCCTAAATGGACATCAGTCTTCAATTTATTTCTCTAAAATTGGAATAATAATGATAATACAGAAATAATACCCATAGCTACTATTTACTGCAAGTCAGTTATATATCAAGCAGGGTACTAAGTACTTTATAGGCTCTGATTCAAACTATACTAATAGCTACCATTTACTGAATACAGTCTTGGTGTTAGGAGCAGTACTCTACACATGAAATATGTCATCCCAATTAATGTTCAAGCCACCCCATGAGCAGAAGGTATCTTGTGCCCACTTTACAGATAAGGAGATATATATATATATGCCAAGAAATGCTGTCCAAGTTACATAGGTGAAAATTGGCACTTAAATTTTACCCTAAGCCTTGAAGGTTCCACTTTGCACATGGCCTTGGTGCTGAAGAGAAAGTAACCTGTTATTGCAAAGAGCCTGACTCTTAACTTCAGCAATAGAGATTGTCCAGCATGTCCAAGGAGAGGCCAGGTCAAAACTTGGGCACCCCAGCTTTCTAGGCTTCTGTTCCTTCTATGAGACACCCATTCCTAAGGCTATGAGATTGGGAAACTTTAATAACTATGCAAGTATTATCATCCCCCAGGCACCTGCAGGACTCATCCCCACTCATTCTAGATTCTGCTTAGGAATCATCTTCCTGGCCAGTTCTCTGGAAGGCAGGCTCCATGAGATCAGGGATTCTTGTCTTATTCTTGTTGGTATCGCTGATCCCTAGCACACAGCCTGGCACAGCTGGTGATGGATACATGTTTGTCAATCACTTAAATCCAGGAAGTCTTCTTTTCCAGGACGCCGACTCTCCTTTTCTCGCCCTTCCAGGTTATGTTGCAATGGGCGCCGTCCTCCCATCCTTCTGGGGCCAGCAGCCCCTCGTCCAACAGCAGATCGCCATGGGTGCTCAGCCACCAGTCGCTCAGGTGATGCCGGGGGCTCAGCCCATCGCATGGGGCCAGCCGGGTCTCTTTCCTGCCACTCAGCAGCCCTGGCCAGCTGTGGCCGGGCAGTTTCCGCCAGCCGCCTTCATGCCCACACAAACTGTTATGCCTTTGCCAGCTGCCATGTTCCAGGGTCCCCTCACCCCCCTTGCAACCGTCCCAGGCACGAGTGACTCCACCAGGTCAAGTCCACAAACCGACAAGCCCAGGCAGAAAATGGGGAAAGAAATGTTTAAGGATTTCCAGATGGTCCAGCCTCCACCCGTGCCCTCCCGCAAACCCGACCAGCCCTCCCTCACCTGTACCTCAGAGGCCTTCTCCAGTTACTTCAACAAAGTCGGGGTGGCACAGGATACAGACGACTGTGATGACTTTGACATCTCCCAGTTGAATTTGACCCCTGTGACTTCCACCACACCATCGACCAACTCACGTGAGTGCCCTTTGCTTGGGACATAAAACCCAATGACAGTGATGCCTGGTTTCGGGAAGTAAGGCTTCTGGAGTCAGGGGCTCATCTCTGCATTAATCAGGGTTGATGATTAGTGATATCACTACTAGCGATCATAACAGCTGCTGATCTAGGCATCAAAGATACATGTACACCTTCTCCTTATGCTCTAGGTTGATTTTTTGGACTCATAACCACGCTGATGACAAATTTTGTTAGGTTTGTTTGGCAGATAATGGACCAAGTTCTAGAATTGAATACAAGCCTGGTAATTTTCCACCACGTCACTCTGCCTCTTAGCGTTTTGTTAGTCTGCTCATTCATTCATTCATATACAACCCAGCTTGTGGCACACAAATTTTGATATGGCTTATAGGAATGAAAATGAATGATAAATATAAACTTTTTAATATTTAAGGATTAGGTTTAAAGATCAGAATAGAAAATTTAGATCAGGAGAAAATTTGAAGTGAGGTCTAGCTGCCATAAGGCCTTGTATGGCTGTGATAGAAGCTCAAAGCTTCCAGAAGTCCAAGAAGAAAAGATGGTGGAGTAGGAACTTCTGGATGCGGGATGTGGAGGTCGTCTTCATTCCTCACTGGTTTTGTGCTTTGGGACCAGTAATTGTAGTAATTGTATTTCTATGAGCTTCATGTTTCTCATCTGTGTAAGGCTATGGGTTATTGAAAGGATTTAGCACATGTACTAAAACATAAACATCACAGAACTGGAAATAGGATTACATATTTGTTAAGTGGCTCTATGTAAGGTCCTGGCACAGGTTCCTACTGCTGGCTTCTCTACAAGCTGCATCTTAGGACAGGCATGTGGCTTCTGGGCCACTCGGGGTAGGCTCTGATGAGCAGCTGTCTTCCTTATATGCCCCGTGCTTGGTGATTCTACCCAGCCCTCTCCTCCCCTTCAGTCCTCTCAAAAACAGTCAACTGTACAGCCCAAATCAGAATCCAGATACACTAGGACACTCGTATGCCTGTTTGATACAATTCGGGGAAGGTGTTCTGGTGACTCAGCCTGTGCTTTGACAGTTGATAGGGGAAAGAAAAGGCTCATGGTGCAGTGAGTTTGGCATTTTCATTACTGTCACTAGTGATATGGATCACTGCATGGCCAATACATGAATAGTCAAAAAAAAAAAAAACACCTAATGTTAATACAATTAGATTGTGTCATTTCAGCCAGGCTCAGAATGCAGTTCTGAAAATGAATGCTTTCGATGTGTGTAAGCAACCTGCTGGCTCTTAGGCCACARGTTCCACAAGGTGGGGGCATCTCTGCCAACTCATAAGGTTTCCACAACAAAGAATGATGAATAGAAAATGAAATGCTAAAGAAATAACAGCTATGCATAAATGAGCAAGCATCTTTTAAAATCCAGTGTCTTTCTTTCAAAGGACTTTATGCCAGCTACAAACAAGAGGGAAGTTTAAATTTTATGAGGACAGGGAATATGTCTTTATCATCCCTGCCCTTCTAATAATGTGAGCACAGTGCCTAGCACATGGGAGGCATTTGGGAAATGTTGTAGAGAATGAAATTACCCAAATAAAGGCAATTTAGCTATCGTTGTGTATTAGAACAGAATTTTGTAACCTTGGTACTATTGATATTTGGAGCCAAATTATTTTTTGTCCTAAGGATCTGTCCAGCATGTTGTAGAAACTTTAGCAGCAAGTTTAGTCTCTACTCGCACAAAATGCAAGTACACTTCATTCCTTCCCTCTTCTTTAATTGCCGAAATTGAGAACCACTATTTTAGAGTACAGATATATTCTGCAAAACCTTCTAAAGATTAAGATATACTTTCATAAACTAGTCATGTCTCCCATTGATTTCACTGGGTAAGCCTGAGCAATATACCTGTCACAGTTGGCAGTTTAGCCTGAGTTCTTGGCTTTTAGTGAGCAATTAACCACTTCAAACATAATTCAGAATTCAATTCAGTTGACGTTTACTAAATATCCACTGTCCATCAGGGTGTTTTCATATGGCTTTAAACCCACTACAGCTAGTTTGTTCCCAAATCATCTCAAGAAACACAACAGACTTTCTTCCAAGTGAAACAACTTAATATTTTGTTTTTAAAGAAAATGAGTCAAACTGGTCTTTATCTCCCTTAGTGTCCTCTTGAGAATGTTATGGAGTAGAGGATTGGTTGGACCAAAAAGGGAGCCTCAAAGAGGAACAGAAAGGCACAGCTAGGACAAACAGTATCAGACATGGCTGTGTCACATCCCCGGGCTACTGTTTCACAGCTGCGTCAGCCCTGAGCAAGTGACCACACCTCTCTGGGCTGTAGTTTCTATCATTTGGTGGGGAAAAGACACAATAGCACCTTACAGTTTCTTGTATTGTAGAGAATGGAAATGGAAAGTGCCCAGCACAGCATTTGACTCATTGGCACATTATGAATAATACAGGGTTTGAAATAGCATCACTATTCTAAAGATAAGTTCATCAGGGTAAAAGGTACACACTGAGTTTTACAATCACTCTCTGTCTGGTAAGCTGCCAGATCTTCTAAGTTCTGGAATGCTACAACAAGATGGTCTTATCAGTGGCATTGAAATTCTGCTATTAAATCAATATCACCTCCTTACTTAGGGCCAAGCCAGGAGGACTGATCTTTTCTATGCCAAATTAGGAATTATTAAAAGCAGAGTCATTTCCAGTACATATTTGTTATAAGCCTTGGAACAAAGGARAGGAGGGGAAATGAGAGAAGGTCCATGCACAAACTGCACTTTCTTACAGAATCAGGTACCAGCTGTGAGGTTGCCATCAGTCACATCTGTTCTCCCAGATCCCTGAGACCTTCTGTCTTCAACATGTGTTTATTGACTATTTACTCCATGCCAGGAATCAAAAATTGGTTATACCAGTTGCCATGAACAAATTAGCAAACTTCATTTTCYGTATCTTTTCTAAAATATTTTTTTAGTTATACTTGGACACAATATCTTTATTTTATTTCTTTATTTTCACGTGGTGCTGGGGATTGAACCAGTACCTCACACATGCTAGGCAAGCCTTCCACCACTGAGCCACAACCCCCAGCCCCCAATTTCCATATCTTTAAAACTGGGATAACATCCAACTCAGAGAGGCTCTGTGAAGATCAGAGATAGTGTCTGTATAGTTTCTAACAATGCCTGACACAGAAAAGGCACTCAACGAATGTGCCCTCTGATGAAAGAAAAGAAAAAGCAAGCCACATCCCAGCAATCCCCCCTTGTATGTGCATCAGAATCACCTGGAAAGGGCTGCGAAACCAGTTTCTGATTCAGTAGATCTAGGGGAGGGTCCAAAGATTGGCATCCCTAACATTCCCAGGTGATACTTCCACTGCTGGTTTAGGGACCATCCCTTGAGAACCGCTACCTTACCCATCAAGGTGGACCAGCCCCTTCCTTAAGATCAAGTGTGTGAGAGGACAAGATAAGCCTGTACGGGAGGAGTTCGAATGTTCCGCTGATTTAGCTTGGGATGGGGAGAAGAATCCTGTGACTTGATTCAAACATAAGCAAATCCCTGAACTTTCTGTGGGATACTCTGGTAGCAGCCAGACACTTACGATGTTTCCTCTTTTTGCATGGTCTCTGTGTAGCTCCAACCCCAGCCCCTAGGCAGAGCTCGCCATCCAAATCATCTGCATCCCACGCCAGTGATCCGACCACAGATGATATCTTTGAAGAGGGCTTTGAAAGTCCCAGCAAAAGTGAAGAGCAAGAAGCTGTAAGTGACTGGTTTTGTTGTTTCTGTTTTTGGTTTCCCTTAAAATTAAAGCTTCCCCTATCTGGAATGGACGGTGCACAAGGATGCCTGCATGGAAGAGAAAGCTGGCTCAGACTCAAGTTCTAAAGGGTTGCTTGAAGGAGCTTTGTTTTATGTTCAAATGAGTCAGCCACAGAATGCTGTCCTATTTTTTTAAGTCATAAGAGCCCTTGCATTTGTGGGGTGGCATCCTCCAACTAAAGTTGTGCTCTCCTTGCGAATAACCAGTTGTGTGTGCTGCATGAAAATATGCCAAGTTGTTTTATATTTTCAGTTGTTGAAAACAGAAAAAAAAAGTGTTATCTTCTTGTGTTCTAGCCTGATGGATCACAGGCCTCCTCCACCAGTGATCCATTTGGTGAAACCAGTGGTGAGCCCCGTGGTGATAATATAAGTCCACAGGCCGGTAGCTAGATAGCGCAGGTCTGGGTAGGTATCTGTCCTTTTGATCTTCTTTATCCTTAAGCCAGCTGCTTTCCTTCCTGCTCTGCTTGTTTTTGTTTCTGCAGTCTTATCCCTAGTCTTTGTACATTATTCCCTTGCCTGCTCTGTATTCCCATGTCTGCACCATCCCTCCTTGCCTGTGCTCTGTAACCATCTTTCCTTGCCCATGCTCCATTACCTGTGTCTGCACCATCTCTCCCTGCCTGGTTTCTATTTTCCACTTTGCTTTTCCTCATGGATGAATGACCTTTGACATATACCAGGAGGTAGAGCTTGGGGCGGCGGGAGGGGGGGCGCGGGGGGGGGAGTAGGGCATGGTCATGTTATTTTTATCAACGATACATTCTGAGTGGGTGGTGATAGAGTGAGGCCAGGTCAACACCACATAATGTGGATTTAGTTTCTAAAAGCAGAGTTCTGAGATGGGCTCATTCTGCCCACACTGATAATTTCTCAGTGAGTTGTGGTCCAGATGTTTTAATCTTTTAAGCAAATGTCACTGCATTTGCCTATATGCCACAGATCTAAGGAGGTCACCAGTCATACACACAGAGAAGCCAGACTACGAAGCAAAACCAAGCAGGGCTTGAAATAAGATTGATAAAGATGTGAGATCATGGTAGCCCCTTTTCATTCAGCCAGAAAGGGCCCTGTACCCGCTTCCAATATGACAGTGAAATTCAAAGCCACTTGTGAGGCTCTGCCGCTTTGCACCTGTGTCGTCGTAGCATGTGATTTGCCACCGAATCACTTCAGATCCCATCAGCAGCTGCTTTGAGAGAGGTGTACTTACATTTGCTACAAGTGTCTTTTTGGCACTTGAATTTCAATACATCTGATTTGATCGAAAGAAAGAAGAGCTGATAGAGCGAACCTCCTTGGGAGATAGAAGTACACCTTGTTACCCAGGCGTGATTTCTAAGGTCACTCCTTGACAAATGTGTTCAATTTTCAGACACTTTCTTAGTTTTCCATAAATATATAGGACTATGAGGCCAAATCCAAAGAGCTCCTTTTTAAAAGTCCTGAACAGCATGATCAGAGCCATTAAAATGGTAAATAGTTTTCACCACCCCTCAGTGGAGTCTAAGGCTACTTCAGGATCATTCTCTGTCCAGGCATAGGTTATTTAGACAGTTATTGAAAGCTAATATAGTATTCTGAGAGTACATTTTGTTGATAGGTTTTATGATTAAAGAACTTAACATACTGTATATTTGGCCACATCTTATAGCAGTTCAATACACGTCACAATATATCATGCCACGTAGAACCACCTACTGCTCRTTTACAAATTCACTCTTGCAAAACTATTTCAGGAGATGGTTTATTAATTTCATGTCAGTGCTCTAGGAAAGAGAAAAGTTGGGGATTATGGGGAGGCTTCTCAGGATGACTGCCCAGAAGGACATTTTTGGGGGGAGGGGGCAAGTAGCTTAGTTCTAAAGCACCCCTGGGTTCAATCCCCAGTACCAAAAAAAAAAAAGAAAAGAAAAGAAAGAAAGAAAAGAAAGGTGGTATGGAACTGAGGTCATACCTGGGAGCAGGTGACAGTGGACAGGGGTTCCTCTGGCAGGGCCCACCAGAAAACTTGCTGAGCTGTCACCTCTTCAGCTTTCACCTTACCAGGTGTGTCCCACCCGTGTGTTTGAGGTAATGACCTGAGCTCTACTTCTTTTTGGTCACATATTGTTGACCTGCCACTGGCCCCACCAAGTCAGAGCCACCCCTTCTGTGTCCAGAGGCTGAGTCCACAACAGACCAACCCCTTTCCCTGCTGGGATCCCATTCACTGGCTTCTCCAATGACTTATGCCTCTCTGTGCTTCTTCACATCCTGGCCCATGCTGTGCCCAGTACACCTGTCCACCACTGTGCTTCAGCCCAACTGCAGTCATCTGCCCAGCTTCAGAGACACCCGGTACCAGCACAATGTGAAGCACTTTAAGCCCTACCAAGTGTTGCCACTTGCAATGTTTCAAGCCGCCCAGGAGGTTTTCATATGTTGTACTTCATGTGCTCAACCTTGCCTTGAAATTTTTGATGAATGAACTAGAGGTAGCAAGCCATTCATCAGGATAACAGCAAATCATCTAAAATTGAAGTTCTTCTAAAAACAAAGGTGACTAACACCATTTGTAGACCAATGTATCAAGCCCTCATCTTCACGAGCCTGTTTAGCTGGAGGCAACCCTACAAACTAAACGGTTTCATGGGGCTTTGGTCTGTCTCACAATTGATGCTTGCATCCAGCACCCCAGGCCATGGCTGAGTTGCAAAAAGACATAGCATGGAATAGCGGGAAGAGCTTTGCATTTGGAACTTGAGTTCAAATCCTAACTCRGCCACTTTGTGGTGGGAAATCTTGGGCAAGAACCATTATTTCTTTTGATTATTGGTTTCTTCATTTGCTGGAAGAGGCTTATATTATCTCTGATGTTAACTGAGATAGCACATGTCAAGTCTCTAGCAAGGAGACCAACATGGGATGCTCAAATTATCTAGGTTCTGGGGTAATGTTGTCTGATTTCAGAATCTGATTCCAACACTTCTTATTTATGGGATCCTTCTGAGATTTCATAATCATTCTCTAATCTTATTTTATTCATCAAAAAATAAGGATAAAATTGATGTCTGTTTCATAGAGTTACACACCAAGTAAGTGAAGTCATGTATATGGAATTCTTAGTACAGTGTCTTGCACATAGAAAGCATCCCAGAGATGCTTGGCTCTTGTCACCTCCACCACTGCTGCCTCCACCACCACCACCATCATCACCACCACAACCATCATTATCATCATCAACATCATTGACATCATCACCACCATCATCAGTACTAGTACCACCACCAACATCACCACTAACACCACCACCATCATCACCACCACCATTATCATCACCACCACCATCATCACCACCACCATTATCATCACCACCACCACTGTCATCACTACCACCATCATCAGTACTAGTACCACGACCACCACCACCATCATGATCCACCATAACCATCAACTTTACCATGTGCTCAACAAATGTTGATTTTCTTTGCTACCTTAGATTTTATACACTTATCCCTTATGTTTAATAATGCCATTGTCTGGGAGGTTTTACTTGATACCTTCTGTGTCCACACAATTGATTTTCCATATGTCTCAAACCAGCTTTGGGGTGGGGGTAGAGAAAAGAAAAAGTCTGCTCGGTAGCTCTCTGGATTGCCTAGTCCCATAATCAGAATGATCCCAGTTTGGAGCCTCATAGGCCACCTCCCACTTCCAAAAAAAATGAGCAGTATTCGATTTACATGTGATTCATGATAAATCCTTTCCAGCTCCAGAAGAGAGCCAGACTGTAATCTTTGGTGAAGCAATTTTCTCTCTTTGAAAGCTTAGCCTGGCCATTTCACAGTTCCCTATCACAAATTGTGTGCCAAGGGGCTGGTGCCAGCCTTGCAGACACATCCTCTATAATCCCCACTGGGAAAGCCTGAATGAGCATTTCTAGGTCCTTCCATCAATAGCAGCACAGGCCACATGAGATCTTTTTATCTATGTCCCCTATCACCCATCCACCCAACTAGAAATGTACTGATGTACTGACAGCAATTGCTTGGTGCATTTCTGGACATTTGAAAAGGGGATCCAATGCAATGATAGTTATGTCTGTAGCTTTATTTTCTCCTGAACTTTCATATAGTAGGGAAGCAAGAGTCCCATCCTTCTTATCACCCTTGCAACCATTATCTCCAGCTGTTTTTTATTAGCAATAGCCACACAGTTCTGAGTAAGCAGGGATGGCATCTGTTGATAAGTTAAAGCCCTATCACACCAAAGTAAGAGAAAACAGGCAGACTCAGTCCCTGCAGGTGGAAGCTTTGGGGCCAGTTGCAAACATTTCTGTTTTAGCAATAAAGGAAAATATCTTCAATTATTTCCCTCCCCGTGCCTCCACCTCCCTATTGGGAAAATCATGTGTCTTGGAAAGACTGAGTCAACAGGAGCAAAAAAAGAACCAAAGTAATATTATAATGGCTGGTGAAGGAATGGCAGGTAGTTTATACTTCACTGATGTGTTGCTGGAGCAATTTTAAGGGCAAAATGTTAGCTTTTGAGGAGATGAAAGAAAATGAAAACATTTATTTGGTTAAATGGCTAAGTAAATAAACTGCCTATCAGACTTTCCCAGCTGTCAAGTCAAAGTAGCATCTGTAACAATGGGAATTGTTTGGTCTCTCTCCCTTTGTAGCAATAGATAGTGCCATAAATAATAAGTTGCTGTCATTTTTTTAAATACTGATCTTCATAGAGGGAACTCATGACATATAAAGTATTACCTGGTAGATTTCTCACATTCAATGGATGATAATGCTTTGGGAGGAGGAATCAAAGGAAAGAGGGAGAGGAAAAGGATGAAAGGATGGAAGGAAGGAAGGAAGGAAGGAAGGAAGGAAGGACAGAAGACAGACACAGAGCCACGGTCCTTGAGTTTGTTATGGCTCCAAAGATGGTGAATTTGAGCACATCTCTCTCTCTTTCTCATCTAAAGAAATACAAATGCAGCAGCTTCCTTTCCAACCTATTCAAGAATCACATAATATCATGAATTTGCAAGTGTTTTGTCAGCTTTGAAAATAATAATACATGGATTATTATTGCTCTTGTTTTTAAATAGAACTGAACAATAGAGCCTTAAAAATCATTCAAATAATAAATCAAAGCTGTCCATTTCACGGATATACAATTCAGACGCAAGTCCAGCCTCAGCTTTGGAGGGAACAATGTCGGACACACTTGGGGAGTAGTTCAGTCACAAGGTGGCCAGGGTCTGGTGGGCCCAGTGCCAAGAAACACTTAAAAGCTGGAATGGCAGGAGATAAGACAGAAGGGACGTAGGAGGTGAAGGAGGAGTCGTAAACTGGAGTGAGTGGCACCCAGTTCCCTGACATGGCGAGCTAAGTGGTGCCCATCACTGTGCCAAAGAACAC